GTTGCAAGGTACTCCCTCCGTCCCATAATGTAAGACGTTTTTTGACACTAGTGTAGTGTCAAAAAACGTCCTATATTATGGGACAGAAGGAGTAGTTATTTTCTTGAAATATATTTAAGTTTTTTTAGCGAAAATGATTATACTATATCATTTTTTTTTGCATCGAGATTATACTATATCTGACAATAGTTCTTTCCTCACACCTCACGCTAAACTTATTCCACGATCTGTTGGCACAAGATACGGTTTAATCTCAGAAGCAATAATCGAGGATAGATGGCCAACCTCGCTTGTTGGCGAAATTCTTATTGTAAAAAAAAAGCTGATAAGATTTTAAAAGTTCATTGAGCCGATATGTGTGCTTCGTTCTATCTCTACAAAATGCTTAACTTGATTGTGATTATCTTGCATAAAATGAATAAAGGGTGCAAAGTATTGTTTGCCATTTGCTCCGAGACGTGCAACCGAAGACTACAAGAAGCTTTTCTAAAAAAAAGACCACAAGAAGCGAGGAAGGAATCGATGAATTTGGACCTAAAAGTAATGAGTTCATACATTTTATAATGGTGATGTCAGAGAGATGTAATGTTAAAACTAAAATATGTAGTTGAAAAGTACTGGCACGTAGGATGATAGCATTTCAAATTAATTAGTCACGTACAGCAACATGAAACAGAAACTGAAATAACTTCGATCAACCAACTGTTATTTTTCCGGTGAACAACGTTATTACGCTGAAGAAAGTACAAAATCCTTTTCACAAAAAGAAAATAAAAGAAAGTGAACAATCTATGACACTACAGTTCAGCAACAAGGAAGAAAAAGTAGGATCGCATCAGGCGATCAAGGAGGCGACCGGGATCCCTTGCGCGTCGCAGGTGACGCCGCCGGTTCCCTCTCTCTCCGTCGGCCGCTCCGGCGACGGGAGGGAGGGGGAACCCCGGGTCTGTTTGCTAGGTGGGTGTGTGGTAGGGTTAGGGTTGAGGAAGACGCTGCCGAGGCCATTGCAGTGGTGTCGCGTCGGAATAAGTTTCTCCGGGCTCCGTTCGCGGTCAGGCGAGGATTTTGCCTTCGTCTAGGAGCCAGCGGTGTTGGGGATCCCCGGATCTCATCGAGGTCGCGGGCTATGGTGGTTGGAGGTCCATCGGCACTGGCCGTTTGGATCCTCAGATGGGTGATGGATGCAAGGAGACGAAGACCTTTCTTCTTCCTTGTTGGTATGATTTGTTGCTGTTGTTCTTCTCCTTCCTCTGCGCTGATGCTGGTGGGAGATCTTGCTTTGTCCCGGCGGATGGCCCGGCCGCGGTGCTGGACCGGTCGGATGACTCGAGTTCTCTTCCTTCCGAAAGGGACACTTTTCGCGGTATTCAAAGACAAAGATGGCGACGGCTGTTGCAGGTGTGTTGGATTGATGTCAATGCCTTCTCATCGCTGGTGTCAAGAAAGGAGGAAGCATCGTGGCGGCAATTGTACCGTGGTTGAAGATGATGACCTGTTTGCGACTGGTTGCAGATCCTTCTGCTGCAGGGGTCTTCTCTCAAGATTCAGGGATGATGACACAGGGCTCCGAAGATCCTCTTGTGTTATGGTTGTCTTAGGGTACTCTAGGTGTTCTTGGTCCTTTGTGTTTACGTTTCAGTGTGCTTGTAAGAGCCAACTGCTTTGTACTGATTCGTAATTTGAATGAAAAATAAATTCTCAAAAAAAGAAAAGCATCAAGGAAGGGGGATCTCTATATACATGAGAATGTTGGTGGTTCTTCTGCCTGTATGAACATCTTATATTTTGATACGGAGGAAGTACTAGTGTTTTTTTTACGCTCATACCCTGTACTAGTAGATTACACCACATGGATTGCCTACAGGGTAGTTTCTTTTTAGATGTCTTTTTTTGCGTGTCTAAAAAAAAGACGTCTTTTTTTTGCGGTGAAGTTTTTTTGTTTTTGTTTTTTGAGATATCACCTCGTCAACTTCTAAAAGTAGACGACCCAAACCCAATAGATGGTAGGCCCAGCCCGGCCCGGACCATCAACAAGCCTCCTAACTCCTAAGCCTCTAACCCTAGCATTCACAACGCCCCACTCCGCTGCAGACGCGGCGGCGAGGAATGGCTTCGTCGGAGAAGCTCCGGCCGAGCACCTCGCCGTCGGCCACCACCACCACCACCTCCTCCTCCACAAACCACGCCTCGTCGTTGGGTTACTTCCTGCCGGAGCTGATCCCGTTGGTCGCGAGCCGCCTGACGACCCTCCAGGACTTCTTCGCCCTCCGCGCCGCCTGCCGCACCTACCGGGAACTCCTCCCGCTGTCGCCGGCCAACCTCGCCTCCCAGGGTCCGCTCCTCCTCTTCCCCCGCATGGCCTCTGCCTCGGGGGCCCTCTTTCACGTCCCCCTCCGCCGCATCCTCCGCTTCCGCCTCCCATGCACGGACCACGGCCTCACCGAGTTCTACTCATTCGGCTGCCGCGTCGCCATCCAGGATCGCGACCGCTATCACACCCGCCGCGAGCTCCGCATCCGCCACCTCCTCACAGGCGAGCGAGCCCGCCTGCCTGATTCCTTGAAGCCAGAGAGACTACGAAGTAGTCCTCTTTTCCGGCGACCTCGTCGTCACCTTCAGGAAACTCTGCCGCGTCGTCTACTACTGCCACATTGGGGACGCTCACTGGCGAGCAGTGCGCTGCGATGAGGGCCACCTGCTTTACGATCTGATGTTCGTGAAAGGCACCCTCTATGCGCTGATTTACAATTACCCACATTACCGCCTCGCTGTCGTCGATCTTGACAAGAATTCTGCGGTATTGTCGTTTCTTGGAGATAAATTGACTCTGCCGGAAGTTTATTGTCCAAGGTTCTGGCTAGCAGAGCGGTGTGGTGAGTTATTGGTCATTGTAAGGGTGGAGTACAATCCATGGGTGTACATTGTTTTCTATCTGCAATCCGGGGAGGGGAAGTGGGAGAGGACTACTAGCCTTGGTGGTTGCAGCTTGTTCTTTAATTTGCATGAGTTTGCCGGTTGCCTTGGTCCAGATCATCCGGCAGTTCGAAGGGACTGCTTGTACTTCACTGGGTGCTCTGGGAAGTGGAGCGAGTATTCTTTGGTTGATGGGTCTTATCATGAATTCGTCATCGACTGCCCAGGGCGAACAGAGGATTGTGGATCTCCTGTTTGGGTCCTTCCAAGCATTTGCTGATGCAGTACAATGGGGTTTCATAACTGTCCAGAAGTTTTCAAGGTACATTTGCTCCCTAGTGACGAGTTACACTCGTTTAGTTTTACATTTTCTGTTTGTTAATCAAAATATTCAAATGACTGTTTAGCAGCAAATTCAGTACGATGAGTGTACCTACTCCCCTTACAATGCTCTGGTGCTTGGTCTCTTCTCTATCTGGCCTGAAAGCAATGCCATGGGCAGAGGTGGATGTTTGGGCTAGTAAGTACTTAGTAGCCCTAGACTCGGACTGTATTAAGGACCCAAACCATGGAGTTGACATTAAGATTATAACAGAAGTGACTGATGGTACGAATGATTTCTAGAGATGGTTTTTATTCGTGAAGGAAGGTTGTGAGTCCAATGCCGATGCCATTGTTTAGCTAAGTCGTCGATGTCTTGGAACTTTGCTCAATCATGCTTGGATAAGTGATTGTGAAAGGTTGACGAGAAATGTAATTTTTGTTGCTGCAAAGATTCCATCCCCCATTTTTTGGGGGGTGTGTGATGTGCCTATAACAGTATATTTATTTTTTGAGACAGCGAACCACTCGTGCCAAGTGTGGTCTATAACAGTATGTTGCTGTGCATGTGCATGGATTACCCTGTCTTGTTAAGATGAGGATTTATGTGCCTGGGTGATGAGTTTTAAGTGGGCAGGGGAGATGTTTAGTTTCTGCTAGAGTTATAGCGTTACTTTGGGACTCGTTGTGAAGTCAGGAATAATGCTTGCTCCAGTAGTATGTATCCTGCTAAACCTAATGCTGCTATTTCCACAGTGCTCACATGTGCTGTCTTCTTGGTCTGCATTGCAGGAGAGAAATCAAGCTGCGAAGCAAACTGCCCTTCAGGTTGATCGAAGTTGGCTATTGGGCGCAACATTATTGTGGTGGCAACATAAATCTTGGACAAGGGATTATAGGGGCCGTTCTAGTGTGCTTGTGCATGTGGTCTGTAACATGATGATGAAGAGAATTGTGGTATTTTTGTTGTGCTTCGCTCAGCTGCTGGGCTGGTACTAGTGTCTCTTGGTTTGCTGCAGACGTTTTTGCTTAAGTGAACAACTCTGTGTCTATGAAGTGTACTTGGTTATGTTGTACATTAGTCTATTAGTGACTAAAGCACACAAATGTAAAAACCAAAATCTGCAGTTCAAAAAGTACTGGCATATAGGAGGTAAAATGCCATTATAATTTAGAGGTGCTAATACTCTTTGAAGAAAATGGGCTGGAATAGTCTTCACTCTTAATAATGCAATACCAGGGTATATATACCCCGAATATGTTCATTCAGGGAAAAGGCTGCCCTTAGTAATGGAGCTATATCTGGCTCTCTTCCAGTGTCCTTTATGGAACTACACACTTCTAAACATCAGATATTTACATGTACATTCACATGCCATCATACATACAATGCACATAGGCAATAAGAATTGTCGAGGAGCACAAGAAGCACATGTTCTTTAATTCTGCTTTTGGTTCGGATACTCCCTTGGTTCGAATATTGTTGACCCAACCCTCACATTTGTGCTGCCCAGCTCTATCTGAACAAAGAAAACAAAACAGGAAATGTCAAATTTGCTCCGAGGATTAATGGAGGTCCAAGAATTGTATCACGTTTGCACCAAAACTCTGGTTTTGATTGCATGTTCCCACAGGCCAAGACCCCAGATAAACATGAAAGATTAATGTTTTCTTACCGCTTGCTCAAAGTCACCGGACATGCCCATCAGCCCATGGATAGTTCAAACTGTTCTGTCGGTATCCGGAGGGCCTTGCAAACCTCAAGCTTACAGTTTACCAGTGCCTGTATTCAGATCAAAGAAAACATCAGCTTGTGAAAGTGTCAACACAGAAAGATTATTCATGATAATGTCATAATAGAAAGCCACCTTAAAATTTTCCGGTGTTGAGGAGTAATCTTTCATCCCTATTGTCATGAGTCCTGACAATATTAAGTTTGGGCAAGCTAGTTTCACATGCTTAGCAAGCTCCACACATTTAGAAGGATCAACACCAGATTTGGCTGAATCAAAACAGAAGTTTTTCGCCAGTTAATTCGACATTGCCAAGAAAGATAAGCGATATATAACAGCATGGCAAAGACTTGAATCAGGAGAAAATTTTGAATATATTTTATGGCAAGGCTTCTGAAGTGTTGAAACAAATCTAGCTATGTTACAGTTGTAGATAGTATTGTAAATGCAGTTAACTGCTAACTACTTGAAAAAAAAAGGAAGATATCCTAAAACTAATATCAATTTGTTAGATCAATTTAGTATCTTCTCTGTACTCACATTCTTCTCCACTAGTGTTTATTTGCACCATAACTTCCAAAGGCTCCCTCCCCAAGCTAACGACAGCATGATCCAGATGATTAGCAATCTGAAAGAATGTCAACATTATGTAATACTCATACGGAGCAGATAAGGATGAAGCTCACATATAACAAACATGTTGTAATCAGTATTATCATCCTTTCCTGTAGACATACAAACACCATATTGGTTTAGATGCATTTAACTTTTAAACATAACGTGTGTTTGTTGCTGCTTGCTTACCTTTTCATTACCTACACCCTCAACCATGTCAAGATTTGGAACGGCAGCTGCAAAACGGCAGAAATAGGTAATTGAGCCCAAGCAGCATAGTGCCTACGATGGTTAATTGTTTAGAAAACTAGAACCATAAAATCAAAGGACACATGTGCACTTACAGTGGCGTTCGGGAGTCGAGTTTCAAAATATATGTTATTTATAGTTGTGTTATAGCCTAATAAGTATGACAATCTATGTGCTTGAACCCCCAAGAGTGAAGACTAAAGAGCCCACAATCCAATTGACTGGAGACTGGACTGTCATGTGAATGGTTGCAGTAGAGACGTCATGTGATTTGAATTACTTGAATCACTTAATTTGGCTCCACTACTGCCGTGCTAAGTCTGAGTTTACAACTTACAACTCTTTTATGTAGCATTTGGGAAATAAAAGGTGCATGAACCAAAGAATAAACAGGCTGATAAAACATTATCACGAGAGGCGGAGTTGCAATGTGTTGATGTTCATAAATCACAAATCAGTTTCTTATGTCCCGAAGAGCACTCGCCACTCGGTGAGCACGTCAGTGGTACCAAGGTATGACAACCTAGTACTAGTATCACTAACTAATTAGCTAACTTTGCTGTTCCCCTACTATGATAGCATAAAAAGAGCCATCTATGTGAGATGTGGTGTTATGGCAAAGAAGAACAATCCTTCCACAACCATTTTGTCAAATCTTCCGTGCAAACAGACGTGGCACGCCAAAAACTGTATCACGTTGGCACCAAAACTCTGGTTTTAATGGGATGGGGTGTACGAAAACCCCACATAAACACGAGAGATTAATGTTTTCTTACCGCTTGCTCAAAGTCACCGGACATTCCCATGGAGAGTTCAAACTGTTCTGTTGGTATCCCAAGGGCCTTGCAAAATTCAAGCTTACAATTTGCCAATGCCTGTATTCAGATCACACAAAACATCTTGTAGAAATCAACCCAACACAGAAGGAGCATTCGTGATGACATCATAATAGAAAGCCACCTTAAAATTTTCTGGTGTTGAGGAGTAATCTTTCATCCCTATTGTCAAGAGTCCTGACAGTATTAAGTTTGGGCAAGCTAGTTTCACATGCTTAGCAAGCTCCACACATTTAGAAGGACAGATACCAGATTTTGCTGAATGAAAATAGAAGTGTTACATCAGGGGATTCATCATCGACAAGAAAACCATCTATAATATAACCATAAAGAAAAGCAATATATAGCAGCATGGCAACGACTTGAATCAAGAGAAAAGTTTGAATGTATTTTATGGCATGGCCTCTGAAGTAATGAAACAAACAAGCGGACCAAGAGATATGGTTTTGTGTGGGCCGGGGTTTCGGACTCCTACATGACGGGTGCCCGGATGCCGCAAACCTCCCCATGTTTGCGTCCGGTTTGTGGAAATTCGGATTGGTGGACCAATCCAAGAACGTTTGATGCACGGCATTGAAGAGCACAAAGTGTCCAGACCTGTCCGTCCAGGCGTGTCCCCCCTTGTAATGGGGTGCCTGGACCAGAAAACAAAATCCTTCGCATGCTCTAACAGATCTTCCCATTTTAGACTACTAGAAGATGCCCCGTGTGTTTGCTGTGTGAATCTTGTTAAAAATTATTGTAAAAAATACTAAATAAACTAAAGCTAATGACTACATACATGGCTTTGCGACGTGAGATTGCTGCATGAAGAAGAAAATTAGATAGTGGTGAATGATGACATGGCATAGTTGGTGAGGTGGAAGATTGATGGAAGATTCTCATGCGTAGATTGGACAGATGGTAGTGGATCAAGCTAGTAAATATAACGGATATAATAATTCTGATAGTGTGGATGCATGCATGTTGGGATAATTAGTGGTGGGGATCACTCTCTTAGGTATATATGAAAGTATATACATGCCAAAGTGGTGCCAGTGGACATAATGCTACTGACCTAGACTCCTTGAGTGACACACTTGAAGTTTGGTGACCATCAGTCATATGCAAGTCTGGAGTTAGACATACTTGAACCCGCCAGCAGGACAAGTTCGGTGTCCCATGATGTAATTTGCTCCAAAGAAAAATTACAAAAACTATGCAGCGTACGATAGGAAAAGGAGAAGTTAAAAAAGTCAAATGAGTTGTGTACTGTGTACACTTACATATGCTGCAGGCTGACTTTCAACCGCTAGCGTGGATCTCCTCTTCAGTGACGCCTTGCCCCTCCTCCTCCACCATCTTTACCGAAAAAGGCTTTCGCCCCGATTTATAAATAAAGCAATGACACCATCTTTTCATCATCCCATATTCGGAACTCCACCGCAGGGCGATTCGGAAGGAGATGAACTGCATCTCTGATGGCCTCCTCCAACGCCTCAACGCCCCGAGCTGTCGCGCCAATGCAAATGATCTCGACGGCAAGATGCTTGAGAGAAGAGAGGTGTTGGATGCCAAAATCAAGACCGCTGCCTGCGTCAAACGGAATCCACAGTGTGGGGACCCCGACTCATAAGTCGAGATCACCGAATGCACGTGTACAGTGATCCCAGAGATCAATGCTCACTGAACACACATAAGCTGAATAACAAGAGTCTTACATCCATACATACCGTCTTACACAAATTATGACCATTATGGTCAAGTCTTACATTGATAAAGCCTTAAGGGCTGAACATCAAATGAAACACAAGCAGCGGAAATCTTCGTCGATAAGTAGAACCCATGCCATCTGAAAGTGCAACTATCCCTAGGTGGTTTTGGTAATTCATAACAACATATAGCTCATTGAGCTAATGCTATTCCAAGACTATTATTTCAGGAAAGCTCAATGAATGGCATGGCATGGATGATGAAAGTGGATCCCTCAAAATACTAAGGACAAAGGATTGGCTCAAGCTCAAAAGCTCAAGACTCTTCATTTTATATTTTAGTGATCCAAGATCACATTGAGTCTATAGGAAAAGCCAATACTATCAAGAAGGGATGAGGTGTTGCTTAATGAGCCTCTTGCTTCATGTGCTTAGTGATATGCTCCAAAACCCTCAACTACTTTCCCACATCCACAAATGACCTAAACCTAAAGCCAAAATCGTTCACACCGATTCTTTCTATCCGGCGCCACCGATTCCAAAAGTCATAGTCACTGCCACAAACCCTAAGCAAATCGGTCTTACCGATAGGGATCTCGGTCTCACCGAGATGGGGTTGCAATCTCTCTGTTTCCCTTCGTAACGTTTCGGTCTAACCGAAGTGAGCGATCGGTCCCACCGAGATTGCAATGTAAACTCTCTGTTTCCTTTTTGTAACATTTCGGTCTCACCGAAAAGAGCAAATCGGTCCCACCGAGTTTACCTGACCAACTCTCTGGAAAGATTATTACCAAACCGGTCTCAACGAGTTTGTGTAATCGGTCTCACCGAGATTACGTTATGCCCTAACCCTAACCGAATCGGCCTCACTGAGTTGCATGTCGGTCCCACTGGAATCACTAACAGTCACTAGGTTTACTGAATCGGTCCGAACGGGTTTGCTGATTCGGTCCCACCGAGATTGGTAAATTGTGTGTAACGGTTAGATTTTGTGTGGAGGCTATATATACCCCTCCACCTCCTCTTCATTCGTGGAGAGAGCCATCAGAACGAACCTACACTTCCAACTTACCATTTCTGAGAGAGAACCACCTACTCATGTGTTGATGCCAAGATATTCCATTCCTACCATATAAATCTTGATCTCTAGCCTTCCCCAAGTTGCTTTCCACTCAAATCTTCTTTCCACCAGATCCAAAACCTATGAGAGAGAGTTGAGTGTTGGGGAGACTATCATTTGAAGCACAAGAGCAAGGAGTTCATCATCAACGCACCATTTGTTACTTCTTGGAGAGTGGTGTCTCCTAGATTGGCTAGGTGTCACTTGGGAGCCTCCGACAAGATTGTGGAGTTGAACCAAGGAGTTTGTAAGGGCAAGGAGATCGCCTACTTCGTGAAGATCTACCGCTAGTGAGGCAAGTCCTTCGTGGGCGACGGCCATGGTGGGATAGACAAGGTTGCTACTTCGTGGACCCTTCGTGGGTGGAGCCCTCCGTGGACTCGCGCAGCCGTTACCCTTCGTGGGTTGAAGTCTCCATCAACGTGGATGTACGATAGCACCACCTACCAGAACCACGCCAAAAACATCCGTGTCTCCAATTGCGTTTGAATCCTCCAAACCCTTCCCTTTACTTTCTTGCAAGTTGCATGCTTTAATTTCCGCTGCCTATATACTCTTTGCATGCTTGCTTGAATTGTGTGATGATTGCTTGACTTGTCCTAAGATAGCTAAAATCTGCCAAACTCTAAAATTGGGAAAAGGTTAAGTTTTTAATTGGTCAAGTAGTCTAATCACCCCCTCTAGACTTACTTCAAGGTCCTACACCATCTGCCTTAACCCTACAGGCATTCTGACTGGGAAACGTCCTAGTTCGCATGATCTTCTCCAAAGAACTCTTCTTTGAACTCCAGTTCTTCCATGCCTGGTCAATTAAATAACCAGTGGCAAGCCAATGAGTACTTTGAATGTACTCGCAAGCAACCCATGTTTTGGTCCAAGATGTAACAATGCAGGATATAGGTAAATTTTTGCAGAAAGCTAGTTTTGAGTGCAATGGCATGTTCAACAACTTGTAAGTCATGCATCAAGAGAATTTAAGTAACCATGAGGACAGGTTACAGGTATCAACATAAATAGAGTGGGCACCAACCCAATCTCAATCACGTTAAGTCCTTTGACTTGACTCAAGTAGTTATCCCAAACACACACACACACTGGTTTGTAAACTCTGGACATAGTTTAAGCAGCACCGCCCAACTGTCCTTGACCGTGGACACGGCTATTTGAATAGTTTTACACTCTGCAGAGGTTGCACACTTTACCCACAAGATCCGGGGAACTTCCATGTCATCCACGACCCGCGATACCTCAAGTACCCGGGGTAAGCACCCGATCACTATCTTTCCCTAGATGACACTAACATGGAGTCCACTCGATTGGTAGTAACCCCCGTGCCCAACATTTCACATCTTAAAATTGTCGAGCATCACTCCCATATTCATCATATACTGGCACGGGGTACCAACGGTGTGTCCGGTGCCCCATAAAAATGTTTTTGGCCGCCCTACCTGGCACGACCCCGTCCCGAGAGAGCGCTCCAACAACTCTCCCGTCACTAGTAATGCGGGCTCCGAGCTAGTATCGGTCTAGGTAATCAATAATGCCCTTTCCCATATAAGGGTAGAGTGGTTGCGCATGTAAGGTTGGGACAGTCGACAAATCTTAAATCTAATCCGTTTTCGAAAACAACACACACACTTGCCTCGATACACCACTTCGTCCTCAAGTGGTTACCCATCCCATCATTTCCTTCGGGCATAAGTGGCACCCGATGTGGTTTTCGAAAAGTCTTTTGAAAATACTTTGTCTCCATCACCATGCATATTCCCGTCCCTTTTTGCGTAGCACTACTTTAGCATCCTATCTACTCCCACCGTCATAACCCTCATAAGAAGGTAGGATTATGCACAATGCAAGTATCAACGAGGAAGTACGGTGGCAAACCATCAAAGTGGTTACCACCTCATCATGATTCCGTTGCAACAACAATATGGTGCTATATGACATGCATAAAAAGGGTTTCATAGACATGGTCAAAGGGCTGCTTGCCTTGGTCTTCAAGTTCTTCAAATCCTTCTCCTTCTTCTTATTCAACTACTTCGTCAATACGGGATCTATTCGTCGCAAAAGAAATGACGGAAAAATAAGGCAATAGTAAAACAGAAAAACCAAAGTGCTCATAAAAATGTCAACTTATTTTTGGTAAATACTAGGGGGAAATCTAAGAATGGGAAAAAAATACTAGTTATGGATTTGGAGTTGTAGAATAGGAGAAGTGGATTTTCAGAGGGGAATATAAATGGTCAAATTTGGATTTAAATTTGAATAGTGCAGAAAAGTTTGATGAATATTTATGAAAATTACACCATTAAATAGGTGGGATTTTTAGAAAAATATGGGAGTTGGAATTATTGCATTTGGATGAATATTTAATCCTGTGGAATATTTGGAAAAGTGACAGAAAAAGAAAAGGAAAAATGGCACTGTGCCACTGGGCCAGAATGGCCACAGTGCAGTAGGCCCAGAGGGGATTCAGCCCGCGCGAGGCTGCCACGTCGAAGGCGTAAAGGCAAAATACGCCTTCAGCCGTCGCAGCGAAACGGTTCGCGTGCGCGTGCGTTTTCAACCTGACGGGTGGGGCCCACCCGTCAGTATGTGAGGCTGACTGATGGGCCCCACGGCCATCGTCTTCAACCTCGGGCCAGAGAGGGAGGCGAGCTCACCGGCGTCGATGTGGTCGACGGCGAGGCGATCTGAG